ACCTACATTTAGTACCGTTCGTATCCTGAATTTATTCAAAAGTAAAGTTGGCTGCTATTGAATAATTTGTCTAAGATTCACCGCTTAATTAAACTAAATTGCAAATTAAGTATCCTACAAACATTTATATGTTTCTAAAAAGGAAAGCAGAAAACACGATGTAGCAGTGAAAATTTCCTAAAAATTCTCAAACGAATACGAAACTTGTATGAAACGTATAAAAAATTCAATTTCTTTTAAAATCGTTGCACGAAACCGAAATTGTCGACGAGTTCTCTGAAAAATTGCTGCAAAACGATCTCTGACGATACATTTTATTTCTCGTTCCAGGTGAAAAGCGACGTTTACATTTCCGGTCAGAAGCGCGGAAGCTGTAATTCCGGTAAGTGTCTAAAACCAATGATGAAAATTGCGTTTCGCGTGGAACACCGATACCGAAATTTGACGAATGGCAACGAACGAGCTGGGCCCGTTATTGTGCGCGCGGGCCACCATTTTTTTTTCGCGGAAATTATTTTTCCACCGTACCGGAAGAAGAGAAATGGAGAAATCCGAAATAATAGTGACGGTGTATAGTTTTCATTGTTCAAAAACGCGTGTATTAAGGTGAAAATATACGAGCATTATAAATATCGTTTTATGAAATGTTACGAGAGCGTAAATGTCGTCCACCGCCCGGCCAATTCAATTTATCCTGCCCGCGGTTGTTGTTTTTTTTTCACATCCGCCGTTAACAAAAATGGCGGGCGGGAGCGCGCGAGCGCGTCGGACGGAATTCCCGTATTTATGGCAATCGCGTTTCGATGATAAATTCGGCCCGCGTAATTAATGCAAATTTATTAATACGCGAATTATACCGAGTCCCGGCCCAAAAAGCCACTTTAATCAGATTATTTCCGACCGGGGCGGGCGCAAAAAAAAAAGAAAAAAAAAGAAAAAAGAAAAGAAAAGGGAAACGAAGAATGAAAAGACGAATATTGAAGGAGTACCTGAGCGGATTAAAATTGAATTGTATTTTAAATTCATTTCATAATGAGCCCAGCGCGTAAAGCGATCGCGGATAGGAGCCGGTGGGAGGGACGGTCTTATTTCATTTTCCGCTACTTTCCCGTAAGCGGTTAAAAATAAATTCTCGCATCATTTAATGCCCGCTGGAAGTGCAGTTTATCTAGTTTCGAAACTTAACCGGATTGCGTCACCGGAAAAGACCCAGGATAATTCTCTGCGAGGCGCAACGTAGTTACGACACGTGCGAAGTACGGTTGCCTCGAGTAATATTTATCTCCACTATCGAGGCATTTCTTGTTGCACTGGGAAACCCGATGATAATGGAACTCTTCCTTCCTCCGGCTTTTATTAACGCGTTAATATTCCACCACCGTTTTATCTGTCCACCTTTGTGTTTTTAATAGAACGGCAACGGTGTATGCTCAACCGAAACCACGTGTGCGATAGTTCCTCATTATGGGTGTACAGTCGCCGACGAAAATATTCGAGTGTCCTTTTACTTTTTGAAAATTTCATCGGATGACTTGAATTTTCTTTAAACACACTAGTTTAGCAAACAATGTCCCGAAAAAGCTTTGTTAATAGTATAATTGATTGAAATGACAAGAGAATACTAAGAATAATTTGTAATTTTCTTAAACAATGTTCTATAAAAAAAATATTGTACTACTAACAGTGACTAATATGAAAAAGATTTGCATGTAACAACCTTGTATGTATTTGTCAAACAAACCATCTGGTTTAAAGCATTGATAAATAAAAAAAGAAAAAAAATAATAATAATAATGATAAAAATAACATTTTCATTGCAGAACGATTTTTTGGAGATATTACAGGAACTATTTAACCGGACAGTATTTGCATAAAATTTTACGTCAAGTAAACTTCTCGATAACAACAAATGTTTTGCTATAAATAATTTGAAACCCTCATCAAAATGCAGCAAAGTTGCTCGCATACCTTTCCATTTTAACTGGTTTCGCATACTTCCGTATGTGGTAAATAAATTCCGATATCTGGAACAGCACACAAAACGCGAACGAATAATAATTATCATAAATAATTTAGCTCAGCTACCAAAATATGGAAGCGTTATTAGTATGCGTACTTCTTTCTGTTTTCATGTATTTTGCATTTCTGCTGATGCTGCAGATAAATTTCCATACCCGAAGCATACCAGGCACATTCGACGCAAAAAGTAATTACAATAAATTTATCATTATAAATAACATAAATAAATAGCGCTTCTCGTTATAGATGCGATACAGAAATGATATTTGTGCGCATATTTCTTAACATTTTATTGTATCTTGCATGCTTACAGACCTTGTAAAGCAATTTTTATATCTGGAGCAACATGTTAAAATAATAATCATATTATTATGAATAATGTAGCTCTCTTGGGGTGCAATATTAAAATGTTAGCACGCATGCTTCATATTATTTTACTATACATTGCTCAAATGGAAGCCTTAATTATATCTGCAGCAACACGTTTTGAAGTTGTAAATAACATCATTATGAATAATTAAACGTTATTTGTCCGACACAGAAATGTTCGTATACATATATCTTATTGTTTTATTATACTTTGCATACTTGAGATACTTCAAAATAAATGTTGACATCGGAAGCAACATATTAAAATAATTATTATAAATTCTAATAAATTCTTATGAATAATTTTGTGTACCTCGACGCAATGTAAAAATGTATAAATATAAGTTACATGATTTCATAAAGTCATAAGTTATTTTATAACTTACAAGTTTATAACTTAATTAATATAATTATATATAATTTATAAAGTTATAAGTTATAAGTAACCTGCGTATTTTTATGTAATTCGTGCATCGATTTCAAAAAGCAGGAATTGCATAAAAATGCGTTCCTTCAAATCATTTTAACCAGCTGCTTCTGACATCTTCAGTTTCGTGTTCGAGCTACTTTCTGTCACCGTGTAATTAAATTAGTAATCTAATTATTGTTACACATATTTCGTTGTTCGATCGTCTTTTTATCGTATTCGACACACACTCGTTCACAGCCATATGAGCCGTTTATTTTGAAAGTGGCATAAGTCACTTTTTCAAAAAAATCGAGTTAATGGTAACACTAATTACAATTGAACGGTATCTTTTCATTTAAAAAAAATTTGCAATCAATAAGTTGAGAACTATTGAGATTTGTTTGAGAGAAGTTTTGCTAATTAACGGTATAACAAACATGTTTATTTTGAAAGTGGCGTAAGTCGCTGTACTCAGGAAATTAATTGCGGGGCTTAGTGTAAAAGAAATAGAAACGTGTGATAAGTGTGTGTGAAGTATTGTTTTGAATTATTTTCAGTATTTTTAAAAAAGTTGTGATCACTGGACTTATTTTTATAAGTGCGAAAGAATAGTGCAGTTTTGTAAATTATATTATAGTGATGTGGCGGCTACCTCCAGACCCGCCAGCAGATGGCTATAAAATGTTTTATAAACTAACTTTAGATGAAAAAGATGAATTTCTAACTTTGGATTTGTCACCAAAAAGAGGAAGACCTAGGCGTTATTCACAAATAGAAATGGATCCGTTATACGCTGGATCTCGTCCTGTTTCTTCAGCAAAATACAAAGACATGATGGACTTGCTTAATTATATACCCCCAATATACCACAGTTATTTAAAAAATTTGAAACAAAACACGATTTCCGAGGACTTAATCACTCCTATTGATGACGAAAATTAAATTGAACTGATGTATTTTCATATAAATTACTTATACCTATATTTCAAAATGTACCAATTATTTTTGTATTTTATGAATATTAAAACAAAAAATACTTAAATCAAACCTTTATATTAAATATGTTCATGGTATAAATTATTATTATATATGTAATTTATTCAACAATTTTAGTAAATCACTGTCCTTTCAAAACATCACTTCGGTAAAATACGTCGGACAAAATTAATATATGTCAGTCATTTTTCTAAACTATTTATTTTGAAAGTGGCATAAATCGCTTTGCCGTAATGAAAAGTGGTGATTTTATAACGTTTATACGAAATTATTTATACTGAGAAAAATATCAGTAACCTGAGATAACAAATACAAGTAAATCTTCTCGAAAGTTAGCATCCATATTTTTAAACGTGTTAAAACGCAAACCCTTAAATATATCGACTTAAAAACAAAGTGACTTATGCCACTTTCAAAATAAACGGCTCATTTGAAAAGCGCATCGAACAATTTGAAAACTGTCGATAACACAATTTGTGAAACCATTATCATATCATTAAAATTATAAACGAATGATATTTCTATTTATTTAGTATTGCATAAAACCTTGAATCGAGCGCCAGACGATTCGAAACAATAATTCGCGTACAATAAATAATTAAGAACCGCCGGGGTTCGATTATCGCGAACGGTTAGCCGGTAATCTCGATTCCTCAACGGACCTCAATTTTCCTTTCCCGTAGCCGAGAGCCGAGTGGTTTAAATTAAAGCATCGCAGGAGTAAACGCAGTTCCTCGCATTAAATTATGGAAGGGCTGTCTTCTTCTATCTAATTTCCCCGTCGCCGCGAGTTAAGCTGATGCCGGGAATTAAGCCCGCCTCTATAAATTCATTGGAAGATAATTCCACTTACAGTTAACATAATTCTTGGATTTTCCTCGGCGAAGTGAGATTCGAACAATCGACTTCGGTCAGCCTTTGCCGAGGGGTCATTGTCTCTCGCCTCTCAGATAGAGAGAAAGAGCGAGAGAGCGAGGGGGGGAGAGTTTGGTTTACTTTGTGTCTCCGAGGTTGAAGTCTCTCCTTCCGTGGTATGCAGCCCCTTTTGCCAGTGACTTATCAAATTTGATATTAAAATCAGCTAGACCAGCTCTCTTCTCTCGTTCCTTACGCTTTAATTACGACTTTTTTTGTCTAGCGGCGCGCTGCGGCGCCGCTGAACTTCCTCCCCCTCCTGCCCCCTTTTAAAGTAAAATCTCTGTTGAAGTATGCCGAGTAGAACACGGCTGTTAAGCATTCTAATGAGCTGCAACGACAAATTGTTCTTTTTAGAAAGTTATCTTCATTTTCGTCCGAGCTCCGAGCACGTGTATCATTAATTCACTTTGTCATACTTAACCGGACAATTTGATTGTCCGAATAATAGTGCTTGTAAATGGACCGCGGGTGTTTATGCCGATTCTCATTCTTGTATGTAGTTGTACAACAATTCGAATTAATGGAAAGTTTCATTCGTCGACTGAAAGATTATTACATTGTAAAAAGAAAAGGGAAATGTTGTTAAAATCTAAATAAATTAAATCTTGTTCATTTACAGGTTCTGCACTTCACGTTCATCACTTTGCAGATTATAGTCAGCTTTCACGAAA